TTGTGAATACGTTCGCTTGAACATGGTTTCCCAAACATGGGCAAATATATTATTTTTATTGTTTGTTTTAATTTTTTTTCCTATATTTTTATTTTGAACTCGTGTTTGGCTAAGAATTTCAAGGTGTCTCCGGCGCAAAAGTTGTTTGTATTCTTATTTTAAATGACATATATTTTTTGATAAGGGTTTTATTGTTAAGTTCAAAAGTGATTTATAGTTCTATAAATTATTTTGTGCCGAGCTTTGCTTTTACCTAAGTGCGGAAACTGACTTATAGTCCTATAAATAAGTATTCACCAAAACACGTTTTTTCATACATCTTTTAAGTTTGCTTTGTCATTCTTTAAAAATACCCTGTTTGAACTCAGTTTTTTTCGCCAATCTACTCAGAATGACTTATAGTCATATAAAAGCATTTTGCAAGGAAGGGTTTTCTTGCACATTTTGAGGAACGCTAGACTTTTCACCTGATTTTTAGCCTCCTTTATTGCAAAACGTTTAAAAACGCTATCTTTTTGGGTAAAAAATAACAGTTTGACTTTTACTTTTTCATTCTATAAGAAATGTTAGGTTTTCTCCGATTGTGAGGTTTTTACGAATCCCCGGTTTTAGAGGATTTTCAAATAAAATCTGATTAACCACTTCTAGGCGAGTTTCGGGTGGACGTATAATTTGTGGAAATAGTCTGTGCCATGCATACAATATATTTCGGCACAGTTTCGACTTAGGTCTTCTTGCTGCAAATGAGGGAATGAAGAAACAGAGCCAGACATCTGAAGGTCTTGAAAGACCTCACTCTTTAGTGAGGATGTATTCAGCCAATTGAGTCCAGAGTTTGGACCTGGTGCCGAAGGCTGCCAACGGGACCTATTTACAAAGGAGGGCAAGGTTCTGCTGCAGCGGGTCCAGAAGACTCAAACCACCCTGTGTCCTTGCTGTTGTCACCGTTTCCCACGCCACCTTCTATATGAAACCTTGTTGAATCTCCGCTACAGGTTTTCACAAGTAACGTGCTGGATCTTTCTTAATCCTTGCATATGCCCCTTCCCCCAGTAGATGGACAGATAATGGGAACCACAAAAGTGAAAAGGCCGCCGATGACAAAACCAGAGCACGACCAAACAATGAAAGTTTGAAATTTCGCGCCCAACAGGTGATTCTAGCAGCAACTTTATCCGCTAGTAATGCATCTTGTGCCTTAGAACAGTCCGACAATAAAAGTTGGACCCCCAGAAAGCGATCAGATGAATTAGCAGGAATTCGATTGAGTCCCCAGTCCACACTCAATTCTTGGGAATAAGGAAGGAAGTAAACTGATTTATCCCAGTTAATGGAAGCTTCCGACAGTTCACAGTAAGTATCTACTACTTTCCTACGTTCATGGAGAGCGGCGGGATTATTGTCTACTGCTATCGTAAGGTCATCGGCAATCGCGCCCCCCTTCCATTCCAGACCCGGGGCCAGCTTCAGACCCCGAATATTAGTATTATTTATGATATTATCTATCAGAATTTCCAATTGAAGGACAAATAACAGAGGGGCAAAGGGGCAGCCTTGCCTGAGAGAATGTGTTAAAGTAAATTCATCAGAAAGTCTACCATTCACAATTACTACTGAGGAAGCATGTTCATAACTAGCTCTAACCCAGGTTCTAAAGCCCGGGCCGAAGCCCATCTTCTTGAGAGAAGTGTGGACAAAGCTCCATTTTACTTTTTCATAAACCTTCTCCATATCCAGGAGAAGGATGACAACATCTCTTTTCTCTTTTCCAATGATTTCCAAAGCCTGGATGGTAGCGGCTATATTATCAAATATAGATCTCCCTTTTACAAAAGCTCCTTGTTCCCACCCAATTAACGACGGGAGGAGCCTAGCCAAACGCAAAGCAAGTGTTTTGGCAAATAACTTGTATGTGACATTAAGGACCGAAATTGGTCTCCAGTTACGTACCTCTCTCTTTTCCCCCTTTTTGTATAAGAGGGAGATCATACCTTGGGTAAACCCCTTAGGGAGGCGTCCTGAAGTAAGAAAATTGGTTGTAAACGTCACCAAGGAAAGGAGCAAAGGCCCCCCAAGCAGATAAAAATAGTTCAATAGGGAGCCCATCCAATCCCGGACATTTCCCTTTTGCCATAGCCCTGACTGCTCTTAGGATTTCTGCTTTATCCATTGGCGTGTCGATTTCTTGAGCAGCCGGTGCCAGCCGCCTGCGAGATGGACTTACTAGTGAGATCCCAAAAGGGAGAGTGTTCCGCTAGGTCCACAGTTGAGTCATCAGCCGGGCGTCTCGTGGAAACTATGTCCCTAAAATAACCTAAAGCGTACTCACACAATTGGGCTGTGTCTGAAGCTAACGGAAGAGAATTGTCAAAAGGATGAGCCAGCTCCCTGATTAAAGATTTAGATTTATGTAGCAGCAGAGAGCGAAAGGTCAATTTTGTCATTCTATCATACCCAACAATACCCCTAAGATTAAGAAACTCGATCCATTCAGTCTGTCTTTTTATTTCTAGGGCCTCCAACCGAGATAAGGCATCTTTTCTAATTCGCGACCAGTGCCAGTCTGAGAAGGGGTCCTTCCCCATTTCTTTTTCTGCTTGTGTTATCATCATGACCGCGGTTCTCTCCTCCCAATTTCTCTTTGCGGCGTTTAATCTAGAAAAGGTTATTAAAGCCTGTTTTAGAATGGCAATGCCTGTGTCCACCCACTGAAGGGGGTTAACAAAAAGATCTTTTGCGCCTTGCCAGTTTGACATATGCTTGGTGATCCAGTCGATAATACCCTGGTCTTTTAACAGATTGGTATTCAACCGGAAGGGTGGGCGGTGTCGTTCCACTGTATCTTTGGGCAAAATATCCAAGAGAACAGGGTGGTGATCAGACATTGAGGCCGGCTTCACTTCGGACCAAATACTGCGATCCCAGGGACATCCCCGCGCCAAGAAAAAATCCAACCTTATCCTTGGGGCCGGAGAGGAGGAAGTGGGAGGAGGACCAAACCACGTAAAACCATTCTCATGTGGATGGAAAGTCCTAAAGGGATCTACCAGTCGTTCCAATTTTAACGGATGTCCGGATGGACGCATCCCAATTTTTTCAAGAAAATACGATTTTGGGTACGCCGTGTTGTGCCCTAAGTGCATAGTGCCCTAAGGGCATCCCCACACCACTCTCGAAATGTGAAAAATGAGAATGAACGTCCCTGTAGAACAATGACCAGATGCACCTGCCACATTTTCGTCTTTTTCACATTTCGAGAATGGTGTGGCGACGCCCTAAGTTTGGGTGCAGGTTATCAGTCTTTCTGTGTGAGTTTGGGTGCCAGTTTTCAGTCTTTCAGTGCTAGTGTTGGTGCGCACGCACGCACGCACACACGCACACACACGCACACATAAACACACACACTGTCACACAC